TTCACCATTAAGTATAATGCTGGCTGTAGGTTTGTCATGTACAGCCTTTATTGTATTGAGGAATGTTCCCTGGATTCCTAATTTTTCCAAGACCTTCATCATAAAGGGGTGTTGGATCTTGTCAAGTGCTTTTTCTTCATCTATAGAGATAACTATGTGGTTCTTATCCTTGCTCCTGTTGATGTGATGAATTATATTAATTGATTTGCATATATTGAGCCAGCTTTGCATCCCTGAAATGAATCTTGTTTGATTGTGGTATATGATTTTTTGGATGGATTGTTGAAGTCGATTGGCCAAAATTTTGTTGAGAAGTTGTGCATCAATGTTCATCGAAGAAATGGGTCTATAGTTCTCTTTCTTTGATGAGTTCCTGCCTGGTTTTGGGATGAGAGTTATGATGGCTTCATAGAATGTGTTCGGTAGTGAACTTTCTCTTTCCATTTCATTGAAGAGTTGGAGGAGGGGCTGGGAAGGTGGCTCAGTGGTAGAGCTCTTGCCTTGCATGCATGAGGCCCTGGGTTTGATTCCTCAGCACCACATAAGCAAAAAGAAAAAAAGCAGGAAGTGGCGCTGTGGCTCAAGTGGTAAAGCACTAGCCTTGAGCTGAAGAGCTGAGGGACAGCACCCAGGCCCAGAGTTCAGGCCCCACAACGGGACCCCCCCCAAAAAAAAAGGAGTTGGTGTGAGCTCTTCTTTTCCTCTTTCTTAGTTTCTTTTTGTAAGTCTAGGGGGCTAGATGGAGTGTTGCCCATGGTTTCTAGTCCCGTCAGTTGTACAGACCAAAAAACAATAAACGGGTAGTAGACAAACAAAACATGCAGGCCTGACAGTTAAAAAAGCTTACGAAGTGGAGATCTCCCAAATTGGTCTGCTGATTCCTGTAACAAGGAAACAGAAGGAGCGGACCCACAGTGAGCGAGTTGGGCCTCTGTTAGGAAGCCCTTTAGGTCAGTTCCAGCCCAACACTGAACCTCCCCACACCCCACAATTCTCACGGTGGGGTTCCAAAGATCCTTGCCCCACAATTCTCACAGCGGGGTTCCAAGGACACCCCTTTCCCCCCCCCCCACACACACACAAGAGAATCTGGGACGTCTCCCAGTTCCTCCAGGGTTGTGGTGCAAGTGCATCTGCTTCGACAACCCTTTACACAATACGAATTGGAGCAGCTGTCCTCACAAAGGAAAACGAAAGTAAAACAGACAAAGGACAGGACAAGACAAATTTGACAGCGCTGTTTTACCTTTGGAGTCTGAGGTCTTGGGGGGTCTTTGGATGTAGTACCCACATCGCAGGACCCCCACCAAGAAGACCACCAAGAGTCAGATGTTCCGAAATGCAAAAGCAAGCCTGCAGCTCAGGCCTCCTACACTCCGACACAGCGGAGCCTAGGAGGAGAGCCCCGAGCTAAAGATTTGTAGGGCTTATAAAGGCAAATAACCAGGTGTTTGGATCACCACCATGTGTTGCTAATTGGTGGTCTAGGTTTGCTCACAGAATTTGCTTAAACAAGCAAGAAATGGTCACTGCCTCAAAAATAGAGTTAACCCTTCATTCTGCATGTGGCTGGTTAGTTTTCCTAGCACCAATAGTTGAAGAGTGTGTTTTTTCCAATGTATGTCTTTGGTTCCTTTGTCAAATATCAGCTGACTATAAGTATGTGGTTTTATTTCTGGATCTTCTAATCTATTCCATTGATCTTCAGGTCTATTTTTCTGCCAATACCAAGTTGTTTTTGTTATTATGGCTATATAGTAGAGCTTGAAATCTGATCTCATAATACCTCCTGCATTGTTTCTTTTGCCTAGAATTGCTTTACCTATTCTAGGTCTTTTTTGTTCCACATGAATTTTTTAATTGTTTTCTCTATTTCAGTAAAGAAAGGTCATTCGGATTTTGATGGGAATTGCATTGGCTTAGTATATCATTTGGCAGTATGACCATTTTCGTGACATTGATTCTACCTATCCCTGAGCATGGAAGGTCCATCCATTTCCTGGTATCCTCTTTGATTTCTTTCTTTAGATTTTTATAGTTTTTAAGTAGGTCCTTTACATCTTTGGTTAGGTTAGTTTCTAGGTATTTTTTTTGAGGTTATTGTGAATGGGGTTGTTTCTCTGATTTCCTTTTCTGCTTGTACATTATTGATTTATATACAACTGATTTTTGTGGGTTAATTTTGTCCTGCTACTTTGCCAACATGATTTGTAAGTTCTAGGAGTTTGGGAGTGGAGTTTTGGGGTCGTTTAGGTATAAGATATCTATAGGGCTGGGAAGGTGGCTCAGTGGTAGAGTGCATCAGCCTTGTATGCATGAGGCCCTGGGTTCAATTCCTCAGCACCGCATAAGCAGAAAAGGCTGGAAGTGGCGCTGTGGCTCAAGTGGTAGAGCGCTAGCCTTGAGCTGAAGAGCTGAGGGACAAGCACCCAGGCATAGAGTTCAGGCCCTATGACAAAAATAAAAAAGATATCTGCATATAGAGATAATTTAATTTCTTCCTTCCCTATGTGGATTCCTTTAATTGTCCTTTTCTTGCCTTATTGCTCTGGCTAAGGATTCCAGAACTATATTGAAGAGGAGTGGGCATTTCTAGATATTTTTTGAGTGTATACAATACACTTAAAAGGGAATTGTCTTCCTGATTTTTCTATTTGATATCGTTGGCATACAGAAGAGTTTTTAAATTTTGTAGGTTAATTTTATATACTGATAATTTACTAATGGTACTTAATAATTGTAGAAGCTTGGTGGTGCAGTATCTAGGGTAATTTTGATTTAAGATCATAACATCTGTAAATAGAGATAGTCTGAATTATTTTCCCTGTTTGAAACCCTTACCTGTTATTGTCCTGTTTTATTGCTGTGGATCGGAATTCCAGAATTATACTGAAAATTAGTGAAAATTTTTTTGTCTTTTTCTCAGTTTGAAAGAAAATGGTTTTAGTTTTGTACTATTAAGTATGATGTTGCTGAAGGATTGACATAGATAACTTGTTATATGTTCCGGCATCTTCAATTCCTAGCTTTTCAAGAGTTTTTATCATAAAAAGATGTTAGATTTGTTAAAATTTTTATCTGCATTTATTGTGAATATCATCATGGAATTTTTCTCCTTGGGTCTATTAATGTGTTGTATTACATTCATAGATTTTTGTATATTAAACCATCCTTGCTTCTCTGGAATGAAACCAAAAATTTTTAGTGAAATTTTTTATTGTTGAATTTAGTTAGCCAATACTTTACTAAGGAATTTTGCCTCTCTGTTCTAAAAGATTGGTCTCTAGTTCTTTTTGTTCAGTCTTGGTACAGTTTTGGGGTCAGTATAATTCTTGTTTCTTTGATAGTAATTCCTCACACTGTATTTCATTATAGCAAGTTTGGGGAGTTGATGTTTGTTGTTCTTTGAAGGTATTAATTGTGTTAAAGGTATTTTCCTTTATTGGTACATTTATTGGTACATTGCTTCTCATAATTCTTCTAGAATGGTTTATATCTTCTTGGGTTAGTTTTAGTACCTTAAAGTTATCTAGGAATGCAACTATTTGTACCATAATTTTCAATCTGTTTGAATAAAGCTTCCAAGGAATTTTTTATGACAGTTTAAATTTCACTCATATTGTTCTTCTATCACATTTTAATCTCAGTTATACTTAATCAGATGATGTCACTTTTGGTCCAATTTGCTAAGGACCTATTCTGTTGTTGTTTTTAAGAACTTTTTGTTTTATTGATTCTTTTTGTACATTTTTTAAACTCTAGTTCATTTATGTCTGCTTTAACCTTTATTATTTTTACTGGTTTGAGACCTCTTTATTATACTGATGTAAGCATTATGGCTATAACCTTTCCATTTAGAACTGCCTTTGCTGTACCCCAAAATTTCTGTTATGTTCTGTTTTATTTTTATTAGATTCTAGGAACTTTTACATTTCCTCTCATTTCTTTGACAATCTACAGGTCATTCAACAAAGTGTTCAGTCTCCATGAGTTTGAATATTTTCTCTGGTTTCTTTTATTAGATTCTAATTTTTATTACATTATGTCTGATAGAATATTTCAGGTTATTTCTATTTTCTTAAATTTCCTGAGACTTGTTTTATAATATAGAATATGATCCTTTTTTTTAGAATGTTCCATTACTGCTGGAAAACTGTGCATTGTGCAGTTGCTGATGAAAACCTCTGTACATATCTGATAGAACCAAATGGTGGATTTAAATCTGAAGCTTCTTTGCTGAATTTTCACTTACAATGATAAAAGTAAAAGTAGATGTTGAAGTCTCAAAGTATCATTTTGCTGGGGTCTATATGTGTTTTAGTTTTCATTTTTTGTTGGTCATGGAGCTTGAACTCAAGGCCTGGGCACTGTCCCTAAGCTTTTTCCACTCAAGGCTAGAGCTGTAGCACTTTGAGCTATAGTGCCACTTCCAGTTTTCTGGTGGTTAGAGATAAAAATCTCATGGACTTTACCTCCTGGGCTGGCTCTGAATAGCAGTCCTCAGATCTCAGCCTTCTAAGTAGCTAAGATTACAGGCATTAGCCATCAGTGTTGGGCTATTTGTGCTTTTAAGGCCAATAGTGCTTATTTGACAAAGTTGGATTTCCAAGCATTGGGTGAAATGCTAAAAGAAATGTTATTTCTTCCTATAAAAAGTTTATTTTATTAATATGAAATGATCTTTATTTCTTACATTTTTTATTTTGATTTTTATATTTTATATTTATATATATTATATACATATATTTATATACAAATATATTTATACTTATAAACATTTATATTTTTAGATTTTATATTTATATTATTTGTATTTTTGTATTTGTATTTGTATTTGTTTAGAGGAATCATTTGTTTAGAGGAATCATTTGCTTACAAGTTTAGTTTTTCAGCCTTTTGTTTTAAGGAAGTGTTTATGTCTCTCGTAGATAACATGTATAGAATAACATGTTACGTTACATCTTTTGGTAGAAGAACTGAATTCATTAGTTTTCTTTTAAGTAATTGTGCAAAAGGGTTTCAAATCAATTTGTCACCATATGAGTACAATGCATCTTCTCCCTCATCTGTCCTGGCCCTGTCAATACCCTCAAATTATGTAGTTCCATTTTTATATAAATATATTTAATAAAATGACTATATTTGGCCACCATTTCTCCTCTATTCATCTGCCCTCCTTCGCTTGGCTCCCCTCACCAAGAAAGGATATTTGATTCTTGGTGTTATTTGTTAAACTGTTCATTAATTCTTCAGAGGAGTTACACCTTTAGAGTCCCCCACTGAGTCTAGAAGACTTTAGTGAGCTTGTATTGTATATATGCACATACTTTGATATAATTTGCATCTATCTACATGAAAGAAAACATGTGCTGCTTATATCTCTGAGCCTGACTTAATTCATTTAGCACTATTTTGGGGCCTATTTAATTCCCTGCAAAGGATACAGTATCCATTTTCACATATATATGCTGAATTTTAGACAGTATTTGACCAGCTTTCTATCTCCATTTGTTTATCCCTTCCCCTTTTACCACTCCCCACCTACAGTTTCCTGGTATTCATTTTGTTAAACTGTAAATTAGGTGTTCAAAGAAGTTACATCAATTGTCTTATTTCCCATGGATGCTCCGGTCTTCAGAAAGAGTATACACACCTACCATTCTCCTAAAGTGATCCACACACTTGAAGCCATTATACTGCTCATGGGGTTCCATCTGTCTACAGCACATCCCTGCCCATCTCTTCCTATCAAACTGTACTTGCTACATCAAGGACATTTCCAACTTTATGTCTTTCACAAACAAATAAAGCTAAAAAAATTGGCATGGAGGTAGTGCTTCAAGAAAAAAGTGTAAAAAATTATGAACACATAATTCTTACCAGCATGCAAATAGTATAAGAAGAAAATAGTAAGAAAATACTGAAATATATTGAGCACTGAGACTCTGAAATAAATACACCAGAAAGGATTGTAAAGATAAATGTAAAATGCTGCTTGGCATCAAGAAAGATAAATTCACCAGGCCCAGGCTCAAGAGAGAGTTTGTCAGAAGGCGCTATATGAGGTTCTTATGTCTTTCATTCTGTCTAAAGTTGTCAGAGACAGCTTCTTGTTTTTAGATTTTAAGGATAGGAACAAATAAGATTTTACTGAAGGATGGAAACCAGAGAATTCTAAGCTTGGAGGCCAGTATGTTTGAAATCACGGAGGACTTAGGAAACAGCATACTATGCTATGTGACTTCAGCTCCATTGACAAATTGATGACCTGGAAAAAGAGCCTGATGAATCAGTTGTAGTTAGAGCCAACCCAAGTGACAAAAACAAGAGCAAAACACAACTTTTCAAGCAAAGAAGCTTGTTTTTATCTTGAATAAAATGCCAGCTTGATAGTGTAGGGATGCTAAGGCACTTAGTTACATTAGGTGCAACGGTAACTTCTGTCTTGTTTCTCTGCTATTTTGTCTTGATCTCATGCT